TTTTGGGAATTTTTGCTACACAAAGTGGGCTCTAGAAGCTTTTGTCATTGCAAATGCTGAAAGGTTAGCTTCTACTAGCTGATTCATTCTTCCTTTCTGTTTTCTTGCCATATATGTTATCCTTGTCTGTAACTGAGCAGTAGTCATAAGCACAAAATCCTTGCCTACTGAGAGCATCCTTCTCCTCATTCTCTTGTTCCTCAGGTACTCAGGAGTGTGGCTAATAACTCGTTGTGGTTCATTGAATCAAAGTGGCTACGATCTTCATGACTGGAATCTTTGTCTAATCATCCTTGTTATCAATGGCATTGTCGCTCGCATCTTGGCCTTTTTCATGCTGGTTACCTTCAGGAAGAAATGAGTTAGGAGAAGTTATATTTTTTTCTTAGATTTTCTTTTGGTGCACAAATCTGTAGTCCATACATTTTGTATCAAAACAAACTCAACATTGAATTATACCACCACTAAAAAAGTGATACAAAATTCCCTCTAAACAACATGGGAATTGATGGCTAGCAGTCAAGGCTCAATCATCTTGGTAGATCAGTTGAAAACATGTAATGTCCATTTCTTGGGCTTTTGTGGTCAACTGAATTGTGTATGCTGTATGACTATTTGTAGGCAAGTTAGAAAACTGACACATTACTACATCATGCTGCCTGTAAACACAAACAGAAAAGAGAAGAGAGGAGAGAATTTCTTCACTAGTTCCCTCACATTATCCACCTTTGTCAGTAACCAATGACCATTCTTGCATCGTGGTTTCATGGTCTGAAATTCTGGTTATGATGGGCTGAGGCTTTATTTTTATGGCAAACCCTTTAACTGACATAATTAGCTGAATTTACAGGTCCTATGATCTGTTCCTTAAACAGATTTCTGAGGAAAAAAAGAGTCAGAAAATTTGTTCAGTTCATTAGTATGGTTACAGTGAACTGTTTGGAGGTGAATGAAAGGCCAGATTCCATTCAAGGAATATGTTATTCACGTATTTAATTCATGTTTAGTAATGTAAAACCGATGATTCCATTCAACGAATATGTTTTTCATGTATTTAGTTCATGTTTAATAATGTAAAACCAACCATTCCATTCAAGGAATATGCTTTTCATGTATTTAATTCATGTTTAATAAAGTAAAACCAATAATTAATAAAGTATTCCGGTATTTAGATCACATTTAAGCTCTTTAAGATTTAAATTAGGTATTATATTTTTAAAAATCTCTTAAACTGTTTAAGAAAATTCAAATAAGTTCTTTTTATTCTATTACATTTAATTAAGTTACTTTATTTTTATTTTTAATTAAATAAAATTTTATAATTAATATTAATTAATTGTCATTAAGTGCTGATATGATATTCATACTACTAAATGATAATATTACTATAATATATCAACATGTTATGTATTATTATGATATGTCATCATACCACAATAATAATATGTGATACAAAGTATTAAGTGGTGTTTTGATTAACAATAATTAATAAATTTTTAATTATAAAAATTTGTTTGATAAAAAAATACAAAAACTTGATTTATCATAATAAAAAATAAAAAGTTATTAAATTTCTTTAATAGTTCAATTATTTTTTAAATAAAATTATGTATTTAAATTACTTATTTAAATATCTATAAATGCAAAAATCATAAGGAAATTATTCTAGAACAGAAAATTGTTTATTTTTTATGGAATAAAACTATTTATTATAAGTATGCAAGAAAATAAAATACTCATGTGCAAAAAACAAAAAAACAAAAAAAAAATTACTTAGGTGTTGGGTGTTTGATGCACCCGGCAAAGAGGACATAAAAAAACAAAACCAAAAAGAAGAAAAAGGTCAAAAAAAAAAAACGCCAATGCAAATATGAAAGCGGCGTTTCGAAACGCTTACTGCTTCACACTCTCTCGCTACTCCATAAACCCTAACCCGACCATTCTTCACCTTGTTCCCGCCATTTCCACTTTTCCTTCACTTCCCTCAGGTGTTTTCAAAAACCTTCCTTTCCGTACCCCTGTGAAGGCCACTCTCTGTTCCACTTCCATGGCCGGCGGTGACTCCGACGCGCCACAAACATCTCCTTCCTTGGAGAAGCAGTTCGAGAAGTTCCGAGTGCAGCTAGAAGACTCTGGAAGCCTACGGGAACGTATACGCGCCGTTGTTTTGGAAATCGAGTCGGCGACTCGACTCATGCAAGCTAGTCTCCTCCTCGTTCACCAATCTAAACCAATACCCGGTAACGTTTCTTCTTTTTCATTTCCCCCTAATTTATTTGATTTTTGAAATATTATCTAAAATTGTTTTTTTATATATAAATAGAGGTTTTAGAGAAGGCAAAGACTCAGATTAATGTGCTAAAGGATCTTTTTAATAAACTTGCTGAAGTTGTTAGGGAATGCCCTGGACAATATTATAGGTGAGATTGAGTTAAGATTTTGATTATTTCCAATTTTACTGTATACAAAAAGTTTTGTGAGTTGGTTTTTTGGTTTGGTGTTTGGTGTGTATAGGTATCATGGGGATTGGAGGAGTGAAACTCAAATGGTAGTTTCGTTGCTTGCTTTTATGCGTTGGTTGGAAACAGGAACTCTTCTTATGCATACTGAAGCTGAGGAAAAACTTGGATGTATGTTTTAGTAATGAATATTTTTCCAGGTTTGTGAGTATTTTTTGTTCTTGTTAATGATCTGTTTAATTGAGAAAATTGGTTGTTCTGGCAGTGAATGATTCGGATTTTGGTTTAGATGTGGAGGACTATCTTGTTGGTAAGTGTTGAAGAAGATGTTGTTGAGTTTTATTATCTAATGGGTTGTAGTGTTATGTCTCTAGTTCTAGGAAGCTTCAATCTTCTTAGACCTGATAAACAGTTCAATTTTCTTTGTTCAAAAGGCAGGGGCATTTTTCCTTTTTTTTTTTTAATTTTTTGTTGAAGAGAAGATCTCCTCATCATACAGGTTGAAAGTTTTATTAAGATACTTTGATGGAATTAAATCAGTCACATATGCTGTTTGCACTTATGAATTCAACTGAAGAGTTGTTGATTGTTGTCGGTTTCTGGTTATTTTTATTCTTTAGTGTTTGAGTCTTTTTGTGCCAGAGACCGGACATGACTATTATTTATTTTTGAACTTGGGGGAGTATTATCTTTCTCCTAGTTGAGTATACTGATCTGGGAACATTTTCTCTATCATGCAGGTATTTGCTTTATGTCCAATGAAATGGTAAGAACTATGTCAGAAGCACGCTGTCTCTTGCTTTTTCCAATTGGCAAATGCATTCTTCCTACTCTATTCTTCACATACATTTTAGTCAGATATTTGGAGAAACTACAGATTAAAGTAAACTCGTGAGAATGTGATCATTTGGAATGAGATATTACGGAAATTGAGCAAGTAGTTGAATGTACCCCTGACCCCACATATGGTGTTTTGGTGGATGTAATTACCAGCCATTGATGTAATTGGGAAATTTTATCATATTGGCTTATCATGTTATTTTCTTGTTTTCGTTTTCACAGCCAAGATATGTGGTGAACCAAGTGACTGCTGGGGACTATGATTGCCCAAGAAAGGTGCTGAAGTTCTTGACAGATCTTCATGCAGCCTTCCGGATGCTTAATCTTCGAAATGATTTCCTGCGCAAGAAGTTTGATAGTAAGCTTAATCTTCTTAATTTGTTCCTTGCTAATCTGGTGTTTTAAGCCAACTTCTTATCATAGATTTAGATTTTGAAATGCTTTCTTATTGTGGCAGGTATGAAGTATGACCTAAGAAGAGTTGAAGAGGTCTATTATGATGTTAAGATTCGAGGATTAGCAGCCAGTGGAGATTCAGTGGAAGATCAAGGAACCCAAGGACAATCATAGGTTGCAAAAGTAGTATTTAACAACTAGTAACTCTTCGATTTTTCTTGACTGCTTGGAAGTGGGTTACTTTCAATCTTCTTTGCAGATGGCAATGCTTGAGAGAGTTTGTGATCCTTCACCGCATGGTTTAAGGCCAAAATTTTGCTAGCTAAACAAGGGAAAGAGGGTTAAATAGTTGTCATGGAAGCATACTTGACAATCCTAGTACTTTTCAGTTTGTCTATTCTATCTTCTGCTCAAGTTAGTCTTTTCTGGTATTCCGTCAAATTAGTTGCTTCTGCCATTGTTAGGTCAGTCTTTATGACTAGGTCTGAAATAGACTGTGATGCCCTGGCCCTGCCTTTCATGGTTAAACTTGGTATCAGGCTCTGCATGATTTAATTTTCGTATGTAATCTTTGTACGGAACTGTCAGTCTGTCACATGAATACTTGATAATGCTCGCAACCTTTTTGCTTAACAATTATTAATCATCGGTGATCGCCGATTACCGTTAGCAGATGATCTCAACCCGTACAGTGGCTTTATCAACCTTACGATTGATAATTGATCGTATTTAAGATGATATTTTCATTGGATACTGAAAACCAATGATTGACTGTGTTTCTCCAAAAGTCTTTCGTGTACCAAACCCATTAAAGAAACATGGAAAGTATTTTTCAAGCCAACTCGGCAGGAAATACTTGAGAAAAAAAAAGGAAAAGAAAACTCCCCACGTATCGTTAGATCTATTATCGTTTGATTTATTACCGTGTCCCATGGTGTGGACCATAGGTTCCCTCGAGTTGGGTCCACAACCCCAAAAGGCCTAGGATCGAGCTACTGAGTTGGCAAGTGGCTGGCTACATCCAAGCTCAGGTTTGGAATCCGAAGAAACGCTATTCCTAATCCTAATCTATGGGCCGAGCCAACCGACTTAATTAGTTATTACCAATCCCAAAGCGCACGACCAAACACCCACCCATTTACTCGCTTCCAAACATGCCTTTATCACGTCAAACGAGTAACGCCCGCCTCATATCACCGTCAAAGAATTCCTACGTGGACAATCCACAAAAAACCACACACAAATCATTTTTATTTATTTATTTCTTTGCTTGTCTTAGGTCACAGACGAGGCTGCCCGGACATGACAGACACATTATATTACCACTTTGACGAAAAACCAAAAAAAAAAACACATCCCCATAGAAGAATAAAATAAAAATTGTAGTAATTATAAAATCTATTTGGATTCCGTCTGATAGAAAAAAGAAGCCTCTATTTCCCTCTATTCCTCTCCATCTCCTGTCGTTTTTTGGCGGTTTTGAGCTTTTCTCTTTCGAACATTCGCTCAAATTTTTTTTTTCACTTAGCACTCACACTCTCTCTAAGGTCAGATCTTTTTCTCTTTAATCTAGATTTTATATCTGTTTTTCTAGATTTTACCAGATCTTGATTTTTTTTTTAATTTTTAAGGTTTTGTTTAGCTGGAAATTAAGTAGATCGGAGAGTGACAAGTGGTTGGCGTTTGGTTTACGGATGAATGAGGTATGTCTGGTTTTTGTTTTGTTTTATGTTTCTTTAGTTGGAGTTGTGTTGTAGTGTCTGTTTGGTTAGTGAGAAAACATCGGAAAGGAAACGAAAAATGTTTGGTTTTTTTTTTGTCTGTTCTGTTTTCTTATAAAATGGATAAGCTTATCCGATTTTTGTTTTTCTTTCTTTTTCCTGCTGAGATTATAAAAAAGAAAAATTTAGATGAACTGAACAGATAGAGTAGGCCCCCTTCACTCTAAATATATCTTTTTTTCTTTAGGAAATATAAGTAGAAAATTGAAAAATTATTTTTTTATAAAATTTTACCCGCAGTTTATCAGATAAAAAAAACTCATTTTTCTCTTTTTTTTAATGTTAAATCCTAGTTGAAATTCCGTAGACTTGATTTTACCTTTTTCAATTTTTCTTATAAACGTGAAAGTCCTTATTTTCCTTTTTATTTTTCGTTAAAAGGTTCTTGTTTGGATGTGTGAATGGAATTCTTAGAGCTCCTGGAAAAATCATTGTAAATGTTTCTTAAAACTAAAATGCGTTCTGTTTGGTTGTGTTTTAAAGGTAAATGACTATTGAGTTGAAAGTAGAACTGACTATGTTATGTTGTTTGCTCATGAGGCAAAATGCAAGCGCAAGAAGCAAGAGATGCAATAATGACCCAAGAATGTTAAGGGAACATGAAGAAGAACTAGAGATTCTTTTGTTATTGTGAGTCTATGTTTAAGGTCAATTTGGACAACCCCTTGCAACCCAAAAATAAGAAGGAAGAAAAATGTATTGTCTGTTAATTGGTTTCTTAGTTGTAATATGGCTAGAATCTGCATTGTCTTGTTGATATTTTATACTACTCTTGGTGCCTTCAAAAGTTAAAAATTTGGATGAAGGTGAAAATAAGTTTGATTTATCAATTTTCTATATTGACGATCGCGGGCAAAATTGTTTATTTCTTTGTTTTAAAATCCTTCTTTGGGTTGATCAATGGAATCACAAATGTTTGTTTGTCTGGGTGTATTAAGCTAGTCATTTTATGATGTTCAGCAGACAATAGTTTTATAAATATCTTCTTCCATGTAATTGTAGTGAAAATTGGACACATGAAAGCAGGTTTGGATAATACAAGTTAAGGTCATAACATGAAAACAGATCGGAAACCACATTTGATAAAGAAGCTTTCTGACATGAAACGTCAAAGGGTTAGAAACTTTTCTTCAATCTTTTGAATTGTTGATTTATCATTCTCTTCAATATTTGAAGTTCTTATGCATGGCATGGCTTCCTTATCCTTTGCTTTTGCAACTTATAATGCATATATGTTGTTTATTTAATCATGATTTTGATCTACTAAATTGTGGGAGTAACTACAAAATATAGAAGGTCAATCATACGTGAATCAAGCTAATGGATTTGAATAGTTATAAGCCTTTTCCATATTAAATATTTCCCTTTTTTTTTCCTTGTTTTGGGTAGGTCCCCATTTGTCTCTTTTAAGTTTAGGCTGCCTGTTATACTGTCTTCAAAGAAAAAATCAATTTTCAGTTAACTCTGTTTATGTTTCTCTGTTTTGCCTGCCTTTTGTCATTGATGCTTAGTTACTTTTACAGTCTCATGCTGCCCCTCCACATATTTTGCTTGTGGCATTCTCCTTAAATAAGTTTATAAATTTGATAAGTACTACATTGCTCCCTCTGCCCTCGTTCCCTTGCTTTTCCTCTCTGGATATAGGTAGATGAATCCATCGTTCCTGGCTTGGAAGATGAAGCAACTGAAGTTGAGCATTTGCTTGCGGAACCTAAAAGTGAGCATGTTTCAGTAGATGGAGTCCTATGTCTTGGGAAGGAGAATTTAGAGAAGCACTTGAAAATGGAGGACTTCTCGTGTGCTTTTGATTATGGCTGGAAAATCAATTGTGGTACTACTCTAACAGCTTGTCACTCTTCTTTTTGCTGATGCTTTCACTTCAAAAATTGAAAAGCAAAAGAAAAAGAAAATGATCTTTGATGTACTTCTAATTTGTGAATGGTAGCGTGCAGAGGCATCTAGAGTGTTTGATAAGTACTATATGATGGTCATTGTCATCCCTTTAAAGCAAACTGCATAGGTCCCCTCTTCGTTGCAAACTATTTCCAGGTGGGGGGGGGGGACAAAACAATATAGTAGGAGCAAAGAGCATGCATTTTAGATGCTTGAACTTGTTAACATGCTTTTGTAGAATGATTGAGTGTAAATTTGCTCTGTCATTGGTTTGGCACATTCACAAACAACATCTATTGTGCTTTAAACCGGTTAAAATAAGCATTTCTGGTGATATTGAGCTTTTACCTTTGAGTTGTTTAAACTAATATAATCCTGCTCATTATCTGTCTCCTTTGTTGGAAGGTCACTTTTTTTCCCATGTGTCCTGCATGAATTTCGGGACAGTCTTGGACTAGGTGCTCTAAGACTCAAGCGTAAGTCATGAATTGTCATAATCATTTCAAGAGATGAAAGTTATGAGTCACACAAGGATGCGGGGACAGTCTTTGAGTAGTGTTCTTAGATTTTATTCCTTTTTGTGGTTGAAAAGTGTTTCCCAAATATTGCACTATGAATGAAACAATGCAATAGTTTAAAACTAGAAACTAACTTCCTTGTTGAACTCAGGAATGCTATTGTTTTGAGGTTTTATTTTGCAATTTCTATAGTTATCCTTCTGATGCTGTTATATTCTTGTGATTCTTGTTAAGGTGGGCTGGATTCTATTCATGGTCAAGGAGGAGACGATTTGAAGCTTGAAGTAAGTATTGCTTATTCTTGAAGCTTTCAGGTCATCTCCAAGTCATTGTTTGATGCATTCTTTTCTTTAACTTTTCTGTCTTATGCTTTATAGTGCTTGTTGTTGCTTTTCCTTTTATTTTTTTGTTTAGGGTTTTGTGTTGAATATTTTTTTTACTGAATGCAAACATGCATAGGTGATACCTTACAAAATACTGCTTTAGTAGGTTCTTGATGGATTGCTGGATGAAGTTGATGAAGTGGATGATATTCATGCAGCCCATGATCTTTCTGGTGCATGTGAAGATTTTCTTTTGGGTGAGTCTTGTCTGTACCTGTCTTAATTGCCTACCAGTTGTGTGCTGTAACACATGATTCTCATGTTTTTTTTTTCCTTTTTTTCCCTCTGTTTTTGTTTCAAGTGCAGATATTGAATTTCCAGAAAAGTTTGCTGAATTGGAACCTTGTGAAGGATCAAATTTGCACAACTCAAGTTCAGAAAGTCATTCTCCTGGATTTAGTGGAAGTAGTAATAGTGCTGGTGGCATATCAGAATCATCAATTGCAGCTGTTCAAGAATCCAACGGCAGGAATGGTGTGCTTGGGAAGATGGTCAATTGTGATGTACATCAGACCTTTTGGAGCAAATGTGGGTGTCAGGCTCCAGTTATGGACACCATACATCCTACTATAGAAAACGTGCAAGATCTTGATCAGTCTGATGATGATGAAAAACCTTTAGTAAGTTTCATATTGTCTAATAAGAAAGTAAAAAGCTCCGTTAAAGTAACAAGAGGTGGCACTCTTCTCAGACAGAAGAGACTGCGGAAGCCTACAAGGAGGTATATTGAGGAATTTTCTAGAAATTCTACTGCTTCTGGAAAGAATAAGCGCCTTAAAGTCAGATCACAAGAACTTCCTCAAGACCCATCTGAATCCCGGCCACGGAGAGGACGTCCTAGGAAAATTGTGCCACAATTGGTAGAAGTTCCATTATCCCATCTGGAAATAGTTTCCTCTTACCTCCGAGCCTCTCACCTTCTGTTCAGTTGCTTGTTTATTTTTCTATTCATCACTTCCATTTGTGTAGATATTGTCCTTGAATATTGTGTGGCTATGACAACCAGAAAGACTCACGAGAAGAAAAACAAATATTGATAAATGCTAGCTGCAGATCAGTGATATTTGCCACAAATACAATAGAAATATTAGGCATAAGGCAATAGTTATTTCATATTCCTCTCTGCTTGCTGGTAACACATTTGTTGACATCTTGGTAGGGATTTTTTGCTGCATCTTAGTATAGGAATTAGTTATGATATCATATTTGAACTGATGCTTTCCCTGCATGGAATTTTTTGTATGGACTATATTGATGATGTGTGGTCTTTTTATATGAAAACTAGGAGTCAGAACAGAAGACAACTGACTGTCAAGGATGTATCCTTTTGTTCTTACTTGCACAAAAATAGCATTCTTGTTCCTTGATTAGTCATTTTTCTCTTTGGAAGTAGTTGACTGAATAATTTTCTTAAGCATGATAACTTAAAATTTTAAAATTATTTTTCTTGCTCTCTATGCAGGAGCTTGAATCTGATTATGAGCTTTCTGCATCTGAATCTGAAGATGAGCTTGAGAAAAGCAAAAGATCCAAAACGGCTTGTGATAGGAGGAAGCATCAAAGGATGTGGACCCTTGCTGAGGTGATTAAGTTGGTTGATGGAATTGCTCAGTATGGTGTTGGAAGATGGACTGATATAAAAAGGCTTCTATTTGCATCATCTGCTTATCGAACACCTGTTGATCTGAGGGTACCTTACTGCCGTACCCAATATTATCGTTTCCTCTTGTGTTAATACTTGAATTATTTTTTAAATGTGGATGCTTTCTACAGGACAAATGGCGAAATCTTCTAAGATCTAGCTCTGCACTTAAACACAACAGGAGAGAGGTTAGCCTTCTGTTGTTTTCCTTCTCTATTTTCACTTTCGTCTGCTTCCACCTGAATGAGATGGTATTGATCACGTCAATTGTTTGTATCTATAGATCATTCTATTTGTTTAATTTTTATTCTTTTAATTACAACTATTTCTTTAAGATTACTTAGAGATCAGAATTTGAATTGCAAATGCTCGGAGTCCTTGTATTTATATCACCAAGTGGCCTAAGAGCTTGCTGCTGAGCCTGGATTCTTAAGGATGCAGAATTGTCGATTCTAGTAAACATTACCCCAGCTATAATGCATCAAGAGCTACATGTTCGAAACTCCCCCTTCTGATAAAATATGAAATGATATGGGATGCTGGGTTGACTGTTTAAATATATATCAGTAGGACAAATATTTACTCATGGTCTTCTGCATATCAAAATCAGTAACGATCAGAGTATGTTCATTAAGAGTGAGAGTTTATAGTGCATCTTATGGTATAATCATAATTAAAATGTTTGTTGCAGGTTGATAATGATTTGAAGCATGCTGTACGTCCCCTACCAAAGCCTGTGGTGCGCCGAATCCGTGAACTGGCCACCATTCATCCATATCCAAGGGTTCGCAGCCCAAAAATTTCACCTGTTGATGCCCCTTCATCCAAGCACCCGACAACGAAGGGAGCTCCAGTTTACCCTCATGCTAGAAATTTACGTAGGAAGAAGTGTAGTTGAAGAAGCATTTGTGTACTTGCAGTTAAAGCAAACTGTAATTCAGGCTCAGTTGTAAAGAAGCTGTGTTATCCCTACAGTCCCCTTAACACCGACCGTGATCTGCACATATGAATGTTCTCAGATCATTAGGAAATATCTGGTACATGTTGCACAAGTAAAATCCAAATTTTACAATTTTAATAGCCAGGAATATTGGCTAACTGATGTTTAAAGTGTAAGTTTTCCTTCTATCCATGTTCTTGACTTTCACTAGTGTTACCCCCGTGTCTGCATCCGTATTGAAATATTTCCTGGGACTACCATTGACCCCCTCCCTGGGGGGCTGTGACGTAGCCATTCTAGGATTTGTAGGGGAAAGGAAGTGTAGTGGCTGCCCCAACTCCTATGTTCCCAGACCCAAGCCTGTGGGCCAAGGCCTCAGAGAGTCTCCCCCTCTTGGGGTTGGTCCAAACAAATTTACCTGTTATGTTCTTCCATTGTGGTAGGCCCAGGCTTTAAGTGTCAGCATAAGACTGGACAAAGTCAGGTGCGGGAGAACTGGATTTGGTGGCTGGGTCTCGTTTCTGAGGATTAAAATTAATGAAAGGTTTGAAAACAGAAAGCAAACAAACACAAAACTCTACTTGTCCTTGCTTTTGATAAGGTTCCTAGGCTGATTTGCTCCATCTCCGCATCAAGTTATTTCTACAAGAATCACTTCTTACCTTGAACATAAAAGCGAAATACCACAAATAACACACGTATTAATTCACAAACACAAGTTAAAAGAAGAAAAGTATTCAAAGGTTATGCTGCGAGACAAAGTACAGCCAACTCCCTTCCTGGTGTGGTACCCTACGATGTTATGAACAGCACAAGTTCGTATAGCACAGATACTATATCAGATATGTAGATATCAGAGTAAATACGATATTCGCATCATGCATAGCACTTAAATTAAAACATTATTCTCTTTATCCACTTCCATCGTCACCGTTACCACCATTGTCCGGAGAATTGCTCTCCCAATTACCGTACTCTTGTCTAGGAATGTTGTGGTGGTTGTCTATGTTCTTGTCCGTGTCCTCGACTGTGTTCCTCCTTCCTTCAACGGCTTTTCCTTTCCCGACGTGATGTCCTTGCTCTTGCCCGTATATTCCACCGATCACGGCTCTCCTTGTCCCCGCCATGCAACTAGAACTTACCATCACCACAACCAGAAACAGCACCAAGAGCTTCATTGCGTATTAGTTCAGGCCCCCAAAAGGAATCGCCTCAAGTACTTTTGAGTGTACGTGGAAGCTGGTTAGCTATAGGAGTCAGTTGGGCTTAGGTGCATTTTATAGACGGATCAGCCAATGTTGATATAAACGACGAACAGGGTCTCCACCCAAAAAGAAAAGAGATTTTAGTGGAATTTATAAGATTTCAAGCTACATAAATAAGTTTTTAATGTAAAATTAATTTAATATAAATCCGAAGAAAGATCTAACATCCAGAATCACTCTAACCAAAGTTTGAGAGAAGAGTTTTGGCTGTATTAGCAGCCTTAATAGGGAAGTTCCACCTTGTTAGTGGAAACATAATGGCTATACACCAAGTCAATGAGACATAATTGTCTTCATATGTGTTAAGAGTTGCTTTATGATGACAAATCGTAGAAAGCAGCTTTGCATTTATCTATGACACAATGTTAATGCAAATTAAAGGAAGCTGAATTTCTTTTGTTGTTTAAGGATGTGCAACCTAATAAGAACCCATCTGTCCATTTCAGTTTTAGTTTATGAGCTAGGTCTTTCTCTGTAATTCTTTTTCTTATGGTGGCTGTTTTGCACACCTCATGCAGACAAGGCAGGGCAGAGACATCAAACACATATCAATTAAAATGCCCTGCAAACATGTGGGCATTGTAAGTTTAGCTTGCTCTGTACTAAATACCTAAGATTAGGTTTATCGATATGTTACTTTCATCTGTTACGTGATGATTGTCGGATAGGTTACGGGTGAAGCACTTAACTATAACTGATTTTTTTTTATTTTTATATATGTTAATATGTTATAATAGATGATATCATGATATTTTTTATAATATAATAATATGGTCATATGATATTTTTACCTTTTTCATTTCAGCTTTACATGAATATAAAATTAAAAAATAGTATTTTGATTAATGATAATTAGTTAATCGTTGTTTATAAAGGGTCTATTTGATCCAAAATAAAACTATAAGAATTTGATTAAATATAATAAATGAATAAAGTTTTATTTAAATTTTTTTGAGTAATTTGGGAACTTTTTAAAACATTATTTTTTTTCTTTTATTAAAAAGTAACAAGAGTTTACGAAAGATATTTTGATAAAATAAAATTTAAAAGAAACTAGAATTAATTACACATTTTATACTCAAATTATAATTAAATTTCACAATTAAATATTCAAATTTTATTTGTATTCATTAATTTAGAAACGAAACTATCATTTTTTTTAACTAAATAAGTGATGTATCTAAAATATTTAATAAAATTACAATACGTAATATGTTGACATGATATTTTTGAGACACATAACATGTTTTTATTAATAACTAATCTTTAGACAAATCATTCAATTATCTTTTCAGATACCAAATATATAAATAACCTATGAGAAAGAAAATCACACAAACTCTATCCTCTTGATCTTACTAATTCTGAAAGGCACTATTGTCCTTACCATAAATATCATTGTCAAAACTTTAGGCTTGTGCCTACCATAGCTAAGTGATGAACATACATAATAATCTGGCATATAACAGGTAGAACTATCTACACCAACCAGCCCCAAGCCTTAAGATTTTAGTGGGGCTGCTAACCATTGAAAATTGTTGCAATAAAGCATCTTAGTTACCAGAAGCTTCTACCTAAAGCAAGTGGTTGAGAAGTAATTTTCCAAAATTTCCATTAATTGGCTAGCCTGTGATCAGGCCATTTTTCTAACAAGTGTCACTGATGTCCTAACCCACCACAAAGCACTCACTTTCAAGCTTCCAATTCATTTGTAAAATAAGTATCTGCCTGCTCTATATTTGGAACCTAACCAAGCTGTATGTGTATACTTTGTATAAAATGGTTGGAGAATTCTACAAATTTTAACTCAATTTCATTATAATAGAAATATTCTCTTCCCATTTTTGTAATTTTTTTTTTATAATTTTACATCATATATCTTATAAAATTTTCAATATATTAAATAACATGCAAAAAAATAAGATTTTCATAATGAAGTTAAGAGAAAAACAAAAGAAGAATATTTTTTATTTTTGATTTAATTAATTATTAAAAAAATTTAATATTTACATTTAAATTTTTAAAAAATTAAAATTTTACTTCACAAATGGGTTGACAACATTTGGTGAGGTGACAGTATATCAAATATAAACCCAATTAATAAATAAATAAATAAAGAAAAAAAGACAATGGGTTACTCAAGACAATGAAAGCTGAGTGGATTGGGCTACTTATTGAAGATAGTAGGCTGATAGTTGAGCCCAAGCCCATCTTATCGTTGACTTTAATAAATCAAGGCGGAATTGGGCTCTAAAAAATAAAACCCAACTCGACGTAAAAGATTTTTTTTATATTTAAAAGAAAGAGATTTAGCTTATATTTTATTATAAAATTATGTAACTTAATAGTTTATAAAAGGGATTTAGGGAAAGGGTGGAAAATATCTTTCAACTTGTTGCTTCCCAATGGGAAGCATGGGAAGGGAATTAATGGGAAGTGGGGGAGCCATGAGAAGGCAGTTGAGGGAATTGAAAAGATATGATTGTAAATTATAGTAAAGGGAGGATGACAGCTAAGAGAAACGGGAGAATGCACGTGTAAGAGCTGGATTTAAAAAACAAATTGAGAGGGAAGTCCAATCAAATCATTGGGAGTTTGGGGAACACATGGCCATGGGTAAAGTCTTAGGGAGGCGATGCATAATAGTATGAGTGGTTTGATGTGTCACCAACTTTCTGTTTGAGCTGTTTGGTTCGTCTGGTGAGTAAGCCACCGAGCCCGGAATGGGGTGTGGTGGCCCGACCCTCATGTGCACCCCACTCCCACCCTATCGAGACTCTTTTGTCACCAGCTACGACAACCTTCCCTACATCTTCAGACAATGTTTCACCCCCTCCCTCTCCAATGGTTAATCTTTACTAAGCTTAATGTCACTCTTTCATGGAGGTGGTTTCTTTTTTTTAGAGAATGCCCCATGTTACCACTGACACCTGCCAATGTTTTCACTATACAATATTAATTCTCTAGTGACTGTAAAACTGTTTTCTTGGTGTTGAAAATAGACACTTCAAATGATTATAAACACAACCACATCATTAAGGTTATAATCTAGAAAAATAAGATTCAAATTTAATTTTTGAATAGAAATATATATATATATTTATTTATTATCAGATAATTTTTTTTTACACTTATAAGATCAAAAGTTGTTTATTTTTGTATAAATGTTGTGGTTCTAAAGATCTAAAATCTAAACATTCATTGAGATAAGTATATAGGCGTTAAATCACCAATTCACATTTTCAACTCATTTATCATTAACTTAAGATATATAAGATTTGTAATAATTGACAAGTCTATTAGGTATATAAACTAAGACCAATCACTTCGTTGATAGAGGAAAGGGTCTCCTCTCGACCTTAGTATTGATATTTATCGTGAGAGATTCTACACTATATAAAAAATTAAATAAATTATGATACCGTTTATCACGGATTCATGATTTTAGTTTAAATTATTATGTTTATTAACCAGAGAAAACCCTTACTTGTAAATCCAAAATCTTTATTTTTTTTGAAAAAATATTGAAACTTATCTCATTTATTATTTGACATAAAAACTATCATCTTGATTAATTTGCATAAGAAAGAAGGGAATAGTAATTAATCCCTTGTGAATCATGATGAATAATTAATTAAGTTGGCACCGACTCCCAAGTCAACGAAATGCCTAGTACCTTTACCGCCATTAAAACTCCACTAGTGGTTAGGCATTTAAAAGAGCTTCTTGTTTTTCTTGGTGCCGCCACCGCAATGCATTGGTAACGTGAACTTGTTCCCATTTGATTTTAATGGAAATTCCACTCAAGGATGTATGGGACTTCCATTCACATTTACGAACTGTTAGGCCTAAGGTTAGCTAAAGGGAAATATCTATTCACAGTTCCCTTCCACCATAACCAAAAAATTAATTGAACTCCTCTTTCCTCCCTCGTTCTCTATGTCTCTCTCACCATGGCCGCAGAACTGATGGCAGCTTAACTCGAAGGATGTGAACAACTGAGGGACGCTTTTTCCCTTCAGACGACCGAGTGCAGCACAGCACATCTTGTCTTCAGGGGATGAACCCTGCGCTGGCTTTTCCAATCATCTCTCTCTCAGTCTCAGAAAACTATAACTTCAACAAATGAACCTAAGAGAACAAGGGAAATTAAGAAAAAGGAAGCACAGTTATCTTCACTCGTCTTTGTCAATCTTTATGACCCATGTTTCTTCTTCTTTTGACTTGCTCAAAGTCTGGAATCCATTAAGCAGAATTCAAGTGCATTAGAACAAATCATGAATATATTAATGGAGGGATATTTTCAAGCTAAGAGAGCCTATAAACTATTGGTTTGGTCGGTAAGATATGAAGCCAAAGAAATTTAAGTATGGAATGTTTCCAACTATCAACCGTTGGAAGGATCATTGTAAGATTCGATGTGCGACTTCCATTCTCTGTTTTTTTATTTGGTTTGTCCTTGTGCAGAGACTGCAACCTAAAGTGGCTTCTCTCCATCCTTGTTTTGCAGTAAATAGCCCATTACATGCATGCACAGACAGGGTGGCAGAGATACGCAAAACTTATCCCAAATCCAGCTGCAGAGCACAGCTGCAGCATGCCCTGCTATAAAGGAAAGTCTATTTGACCATGGTACTAAAATTGTACACGGATTTTCCCAAACCCCTGCAATCCAAGATCTAAGATAACTTTTGTAGCCGAAAAGTGAGCAAACCAGCCATTGGAAACACAAAAGCAAGAAATTGCTGCTTCCATCAAGAGAAAATCTGGACAGATGTTGGTGTTAGTGGGGGAGGGCTTAGCTCATCTTACATCATTTTTCACCAAATGTGATTTCCAGCAAAGCTCAACTTACAGAAGAGAAGCAATATATTGTCTAAAACAATGAATGGTTTACATGACTGAAACAGGAAGGATTAATGAAGCCTTTCGTTTTTCCCTACCTTTCAGTCTGGGCAAACTGGTGTATATTTTACAATATCCATTAATACTCTACTACTACCATGGAGTACCAAAATTTAAGTGGGATCGCACTTTGCCCGAGAAGCTTATCCCCATCCCCCTTTCATATCTTATCTTTTCTGCTCGCAAGTTGTGGGGTCTTCTCTTCGAGAACTTCGAAAGATCACTGATCAACCACCATCCTCTCTCTCTCTCTCTCTCTCTCTGAACAGAGCAGGAGAGAGACTTCCTGTCTGACCTTAGAAGCAATAACTCTACTTTGTATAGCTTTTATATCAGCAGATGCATGTTCGTACACTTTCGTATCAAGACGCAAATACTATAAAGTAAAAAAGAAGGGTACAACTACAGCACGACAAAGCGCGGCAACCATCTTATACATCATCGCTCAGCTCACCATCTCCTATCAACCTGTCATGTCAACCATTTAATGACACTGCCTCTTTTTCTATTCTACTGCTATATAACCCTTTCTTTCACTTCTGTTTCACCATCCAACCCACTACACACTTCTCCATTCCAGATAGATATATGCAGCTTCTTTTCCCCCCATCATCTACTTTTCATTTCCTTGGGAGACAATGAAGGGGAATTCTCTAAGGGCATGCCTCAAATGGAGGAAGATGGGGAGTAGAGTCATACCTTGTGGCAGTTGCGAGTACCGCTATCAGTGGGCAAAGTGGCCTTCCATGCACCAAGAGAGCTCAATCCCTAGGGATGTGCCCAAGGGTCACTTGGTAGTGTATGTTGGTGAAAACTATAAGAGGTTTGTAATTAAAATCACCTTGCTCAAGCACCCACTTTTCAAGGCATTGCTGGATCAAGCTGAAGATGAATACGATTTTACCACTGACTCCAAACTCTGCATTCCTTGCGATGAAAGCCTGTTCCTTGATGTTGTTCGTTGTGCTAGCTCTCCCGAAGTTGGGAAGCTCTGCTATTGTCTTTAGGAATTCATGCTAGAAATTTGATTGATTCACGAGGTTCCAGTCCTAGTCAGAACGCTAGTGTGTACTATACTGAGAAGACATTCGTAACATAAATTCTGTAGCTTATAAATGTCATTCAATTGAAAAATGTTTTAACTTCTGTTTTTGCTCGTTTGTAAGTTATGTTTCTAAGAGCCTCAACCCCTCAGGGCATGTGAAAATTTGAAAGCTCTTGGCGCATGTAGAGCAGAGTTATACACACGGTACGATACCAGATCAACACTGAACAAGAAGCTGTACCACACCCCACCAGCTGACAGCATTCTGACAGTTCCAGTTGGGCCAAACTGGCAGATTCATTAGCTCTGGCCTTCCCCTACCACTCTCCATATCTTTGAAACTTAAACAATAATAACAGCTAAGGAAGTATACAACTATAGATTATGTTTATATTTCTATCATAGAAAATTGCCGTCACTGAGAGTGAGATCATGTTCCTTACGGCTTACTCTCCTCAAGGCCAGTGTCCCTTATATTTACCCGTAATATTTACCATTCAGCAGGCTACATATTAAACAGATACATGCCCAAAGCAGGTAATTTATCAAGACGAATCAATCACTCAAGGTGTTGCCAGGATTATGAAAGCAGGATTCTTTGTGATTTGTCCAGGTTAACAATGTCAGCAGTTAATGCTGCAGGAAGAATGAACAGAACTTTAGAGGAAAAGTGTTTAAAAGCAAATATTTGACTAGATTGGCAAGTAAAATGCTTGGAAGTCAGAACAGAATCAAATCCCAGCCGATCACATAATGTTAGCTCGTAACATGCATGATGCACGGTTACAAGTCAAAAAATGAGAAAGTTACGATCCTCAGCTATGGGAAACATTTAATGCAAGATCAAAGTCAAAGCATTTCTTCAGCTTTGGTCCTCAAAAGAAAGTCAGATTGACACTGGGAAAGCAAGTTTTAGCAATTTGCTTCCATTTTAAGATTCTCGGAAATGCTCTCAACAAGAAACACCATACAAAAGCCGAGAGATGGTTCAAGCACTAACTTAAGATTACATGATGAAGGCTAGCAGGGTGAAAAATAAGCAAAGTAAAACAAACCATACTTCAATGTGGCATGATGCTACAAATAGACAAACAAAGAGCCAAAGCAATTTTAGGGCATAACATAACAACTAGCACTTAAGTGTTCCACCGTGCACTTTTTCACAGATTTCACATAATTATTATAATCTCCAGTAGCTCTTGCATATTCCCTGCTTCCCAACTTTTTCATTCACCAACACTTCCATTAAGTAATTCTTTCCTACCAGACACTTGTGCTACAAAAATATTAAGCTAAAAGAGAAGGCAATCAACTAGTGGACAACAATTCTGCATGGGGCACTGATAGTTTTGACATCTTAAAAGTACAGGAACAGTGGTGAAATGATAAATTTCTCAAAATATTGAGCTAAAAATCATACACCAATAGACATGCAATTGATTCTTGAAGAGTATTCTTTGCACATTAGCATCAGATGTCAAATTGTCTATAACAACAAGATGAATAGATACAGAAACAAACTCAGTCTTCGTATAACAACAAATCTACACATCATTAATCCAAACTCGCTCAAGTGTGCATGCAAAGGACCAAAGTAGACTTGTCCAAAGCACTCACAGCATAATAGTGGAGTCATCAGAATGATAAAACTCTCTCAACTAAAATGCATTTAAATTTGAAAAACTATCAAATAGTCTGAAAATCATAAAAACATCCTACAAACACTCTGTCACAACACTTAGTAGGAGCACATGCACAGATAAGGCTTATGATAAGATCCTCAGCCATATGAGAAACAATATTGACAGCCATCAGATTGCCACCAGCATAGAGGTAAATGTATTTTGAAGGCCAAAGCCCAAAAGCTTGTCTTAAAATCCAATCCAATACCACTGGAGCAGCGCAACAATAATGGTCAAAGTGCCGCTTCATACCTGCTGCTATTCAACAGCCAAAAATATTGGAATAACGAGACCCATTTAGAGGATAATGTTCACAATTTAAATCTATCTTACATCATTTTAGTGATTTAAAATTTGTAAAGATAAAAGAGGGTCTTCAACATTCAGTTTTCTAAAGATCCCCTTAAATCTTGATTCACCAAGCCAGCTTGAATAAACTTCCACAACCCTCTGCAATTTCACAACTACAAGCAACTTTTTATAACCTTAAATAATCATAAATACAAAAAGGCTAAAAACAAGCAGAACCCGCCATAATCTAGGCAGTGTTGCATTCTTTTATCTGACTTCTCATCTCGGCCCATGTCAAAACACATCATTTCCAACTCAGGTTTTCTCTCCTTCTGAAACCATGACATAGAAACATCATCCAATATTTGCTAAAATTGCATGTCACATTCCAATAATCTGCCCATTACATCATGAAACCCATATTACCAGCATGCCTCCCACTCAATTTCTACAACCTCTTATACTATCACGCCGATAAAATGGAAAAGGAAAAAACTCACAGCAAAAGCAAGCAGGTAGGATATTTAGGCAAGACCAGAAGTGCACCTTTCATAAGTAAACTCTTATTTACTTCTCTTCACCAACCAACTTTGCATTCATCATGTCTCTCATAAATAACCTTGTCAGTCTGATGCAGTTGTCTAAGATTGTCTCGTTCCTAAAGCTCATCAAATTAACTCTACAAGACAGTAGAATGCACACTCACTAAGGTTATCCAGCATTCCAAACTTAAAGCCTTTACTTTTTTCTCGTTTAATAATTTAAATGGACTACAAGATAACATATGCGAGATGGCATCTTACTAACAAAATTTTCCCATCAAAAGTGGGAACAAGAAAAGGCTCATTCAGTGCAAATAGAGAAATTCATAACGTTATCATAAGCACAAAGAGGAAAGGGACAACAGCCACAGCACAAAGATAATGGTCTTATGTACAACAGGATAAACGCTACTTGGGGAATGGGAAACCATTACCATTCTCATTGATACCAGCAAGGAACAAGTACTGCAAAGCAGTAAAAAACAATTGATTGCAACAGAATATACACAGAGAAGCAATGTTGTGGAAAATATACACAAGTAACATATTGCCTCGTGATAAAAGTACATGCAATGCATTGGCAGGTTCTTACAACAAACAATGGCAGTATTGCATCGCTAGCACTGCAAAAACAGGAAGACTCTAAGCATTGAAAGATTGCCACCATCTTCAGCTATCTTCAGCGTCACAATCGAAAATTCTAGCAGCAAAAGTAACTTTCACCCATTTTTTTCCCACTTGAGTATCATCTAAGTCCATCAATCAAAGCCTCCAATTCTCTCCTCCCATACCTCCTACCCTCTGCAGTAGCTTCCCTACACCTAGCGACAAAGTAAAATATCAACCAAGCTAACATGAAGTACACCTCCAAAGCTGCCTGAATAACGGTGGCGAAAAATTCCCCACCTATATAAGTCAAAATCCATCTCGCAAGAGACCCACCTAAGATAGCTTCGTAACACTTAATCTGTATCGCTTGGTTCAACATTGTTGACATCAAATAACAACCTTCTTTAATAATTTCCCTCCCGGTTCTCCTCGAATCCACAATAGCAATCCAAGCAGCTAATGAAAATGCAAATGAAACTAAAGTATCCACCAAAAACCACGTAAATAAAAACCCTGAAATCTCCTTCTCGAAACCCCTAATCCACGGTGACATAACTGAAAAAGGCATCAACTTTAACCTAACAAAAAGCTTGAAAAACGAGTAATGATCCTCAATTTCTCCGAAATACCATAATCCAAGAAGCTGAGTCACCGCGTCTCTCACCGCCCATTTCATTAAAACGAACCCAGTGAGTCTTTTCAAACCCATTTTCGACCCATCCCAAAAAGCCCCAAAAAAGGAAACAAATCTTCCAATCAAGTCATTAACAACTGTAACAAAAAGAACACCCAAGACCAAAGAGTAAATCGCTGTAAACCCTAGAATTACCCATCCATAAGCTGCCGATAAAAAGCTGACGAGAAAGAACAGCGCCGCCGCGTCACGTCGGCCCAACTCCAATCCTTTATAAACGAACTGAAAATCCACAATTCTTTCTTCTTGTTGTTCCCCTTCGTTATTTTCGTAGTCAAACGAGGCTGCTTTAAATTTGACTCCATAACGAACAATTTCTGGTAGCAGAATTCCATTATCGGCAACGAAATCCGAAAACCCCAATTTAGTGTCGAAGTTGGAAAGAATTACGGGCGTGCCATTGAGGGGGCGTTTAGGGAAAGAACCGAAGGGGGAGCGGTCGCGGTGATCGTCGTCGGAAGAAAAGAAGTCATCGTCGAGAGTGCCGACGCGTGTGAGGTGGAGGAAAGGGCGGCGCGTGGGGCGACGAGTGGGGTGGAGACGCGCGTGTGGGTGAGAAGGGTGGAGGTCGAGGCGGGAAAGGAGGGATTTGAAAGAAGGATCGCGGTCGATGAAGGAGGTGAGGAGCAGCGAACCGGATTCAACAAAGGAACGGAAAGAGAGGAGGAGGAAAGAAAGGAAGAGGAATGCGAAAGGGTGGGCGGCGAATTGCACGGCGGTTTTTTTTAGGATCTGGGATGTGGACCGTAGCTGGCCGAACCGGTGGTGATGATCGGTCATGGCGGTTTTTTTCTTTTTTTCTTTTGGGTTTGGGTTCAGATTTGTGTGAAGTGAAGCATAGGTGTGAGAATTGAGAGAAAGGGATCCTGTATTTCTGTTTCCTTTTTCGGTTTTAAGAATTTTCGTTCTTTTCCATGTTCTTTTGGGTTCGTTGGAATTGGGTGGAAAGTAAGAGGAAAGGAGCGCGGCTTGGAAATGGCCCGGCCCTGGAAAATTATCATGGGCCTGTCTTTAATTGTTGGGTCCACACTAGGGCCCAGATGGATCCATGCTAAGTAAAGGTATGCTAAAGGACAGTACTTTTTATCTCAATTTTTTTAAAAGAAATTACAGTAAATTGAATTACATTTACTCCAATTTCTGTACTGATTAACAGTTAATTAATTATTATTAGTCAAAACTTTATTTATCTTTTTTATCCACATAATGAAAAATCACACATGATCATATTATCATATCACATCAACATATCATGTTATTATTTATTATAATATATAAAACTCATTTGATTTAAAATAAAAATAAAAAATGTAATTATATATAATAAAAAATAAAAATTTATTTAAATTTCTTAAATAATTTTAAAAAATTTTAAGTAAAAAAAATAAAATGAAACTTGTAATATGTACTTGTTGATTTTACTTTGGCTTGCAGTTACAAATAGAAAGATTCCAAGAATTCGGGAAACAATTGGTTCCGACCAAGTGAATCTGATTCCTTTCACCTTTTCTGAAGGACTGGCAGCAAAGGCCAAGATCAAATAGGTAAATTTCGATCCTTATTTCCATTATTCTTCCCTTCCACAAAGGGTCATCCAGTTATGGATAAGATCAAGGTTAGGGTAAATTGCATTTCACTTTGGAACAAACTGCATCCGTTGACAGTTGAGACAGGGTTCTCCTTGGACCCTGATTGTCAAATAAGGCTTGAAAGAGATGAATCTGATGATGACTTGAACATTACAACATTTATTTACTCTCAACGACTGCACCCAAACCAGATCCCTTCTATTTGATCATGATGGTGGAGAAATGGTGGGTTCAGAATGGGTTCATGCCCATATTCTGCCCTTGGGTTTTAGAGGCATGGGTTGATCATACAAGTCTGCAACTTTACCAATAGATATCCAATCTTGATAAAACATTAACTAAAAACGTTTAAGAATTATGCTTTGATATAATACAAATCTCACAATTATATCGCTTTATAACTCTTTGCATCTAATTCCATAAAAATAACAATTATAAACATAAAGATAGAGAAAGCTTTTATTAAATGCAATGCTAAAAATAACAATAATATAGCCCTATATCCAACTGACTGGCTTATAGGACGTAATATGAACTCTTTCTTCAGCTAGTACCGTTTGACGTAGACTGTAGCACGGGTATGGTTTGATATTCTACTGCATGGTTTAAATAAGGTCTTGAAGGGTGCTTAACCCTTAATGCAAGCACATGGAACAAAAATTAAAGTCCTAACAAGACTTGTAGCCTGCTCTCAAATGCAAGAATGTAGAAATGACAATGATAGGGTAAAATAGTTGAGCTCTCTACCTTTTGCCTTTCTTGTCCTCAAATTTCAACGTGGGGATAAAATGTTATTCTCATATAGTAATTTTCCCAGAAACAGCCGTGGTAATGACCAGCAAATAAAAAGCACAGTACAAAGAACGCACATTAGCAAGAGGGTTCTCAACAATCAAAATTTAAAACAACCGGAAAGGAGGCCAATTAAGTGGAATAGCTTAGTTAAAGTCGGGCTTTTCTGGATATGTGCAGCCAGACCTTTGGATGACAACATTGGATGCATAGCAGCCAGCTTTTACACAGACATCAATGGGCTTCCCTTGAACCAATTGTGAAAGAAAGCCTCCAACAAATGCATCACCTGCAGAAAGTAGCAGAAAATTGTTAACACTGACCCCATCACAAGGGTATGATTGTATTTTTTGACTCACTAATATGCCAAATAGAACCAAAAGTAGAGCATATCACAACTAATCATAATTATTTCTTCTTGCATCCACTCTTCCACCCTCCCCAACCTCCTCTCCCTACCCTTCTCTTTCCTAGGAATGTCTCATATTGTAGTTCATTTTAGCATTTACGGTTTTCAAGTATTGGAAGAAAAAGTGAAAGACCGTATACCTGCACCATTTGTATCAACAAGTTTTTCCTTAGGTAACAATATTACAGGGAATTGCTTCACTTTCCCATCCTCAGCAACAACAACAGGATCTGCACCCTGAGTAATAACAGTAATCCTCTTGAATGTTCCAGATGCTTTTGGCCACTGAGAAATCTTCAAGGCTATCTCCGCAACATCATCAGTCTGGACAGCAAAAGCAGCCCAAACAGGTCAAATATGAAACATAAAGCATCCATCATAGAATCTACTAGTTAACAGCTATTACCTCCCAGCCATGAACCTTGGAGAAGGTTCTTGCCTCTGTCTCATTGCCAAAGACAAAGTCCATATACCTGAGCAACAATAAGTCCACAGATTTTTTTTCAGTACATGTTCATTAACTTCCACTATAGAAAAATATGATAGAATGCTTACGGTAAAAATTTCTCCTGTGCGTCCTTGAAGAACTCACAAATAAATGGAGCAGAAAGATTCATTGAGAACACCTGCAGACAAAATTAACATGTCAGGCCACCAAGCCAGTGAGCAGAAGCATAAAGAGGGATTTCAGTTGTGTAAACATATATACCTTGTTATTCGCAGCTGCATGTTCAGCAACAAGCTGGATGGAATCAGGAGATACGGTGAGAAAAAATCCAGCAATATAGAAGTACTTGGCCTTCTCAACTGCACAAAAACATTTTATGAACAAGTTAGTCCCTAGAAGGAATAACAGACAGAAATCAAATTGTTCATTTCAATTATTCTCATTGGATTCTCCCAAATGAGTAAGTTAATGTACAGTTAGACCAAAATAAGAAAAAGAAAGCCAAATCCAAGAAAATAAAAGAAGAGAGTACCCAACGCCCAATTCTCAGGCCTCTTCAAATGCTCGGACTTGTAGCAATTTGCAGCTGATAAATTTGCAATGAGTGACCTACAGATAGTTCTAACAGTGAATCTTGCTACTCCAGTAGATAAAACATAAATGGTTCTATTACATCATAATAATTGGAGCAAACAAAAGAAAGTACAACAGCGAATTGGCAGCATAGAGGAAATAAGAAAAAGCAAGCTCATTGTGAAACTGACCTTTCACCACCCACAACACAAACAGCACAAGTTCCTGTTGGTGCAGATTCATCCTCAAGATATTGAACCTGATTTAATGTGCATCACAAAACATTAACAATATATTATTTTCAATTCCCAAGATTAAGAAGTGCAAAAATGCAACTCAAAATAATTATGCATCCAGAAGTAAGGTGGAAGGAAATAGAAAAAGGAGAATAATCTACTATGCTTAAAGCTGTGTGGAACTGAAATCAGAAAACAATATGATGCTCCCTTTTTTTTCCTTTTCTCACTTTTCTTTTCAACTCTTTCAGAGGTTAAAGGAAAATGGTTCAGAAACAGGGCTCACATTAACACCAGCAGCTGTTGAGTTCTTCTTCATTTCCTCCCCAAACTTGTCCTTCCCAATGCAACCCATGTAACTAGTTGCACCATGAATTTGAAGCATCCACTGCATGAGGTAAAAAGAAACTCAATCTATGGTAACAATGAATGTTATGACTGCATTTTTCCAAAGGTCCAACCAAAATAAAAAGGCACTATGATTTACCTGTGCAACTTTGATTGAATTTTGAGTAGCACCTGCACATGATAAAAGTGAGTAGAATCATTATTGTCCACCAAGGTCTGATTGAAAATTCATATTCCAACATCTTTTTTTCTTTCTTTCAAAATCATATACCAAGGCAATCTATGCATTACCTCCAGCAATATACTCTACGTTGGAGTTTGAAGCCATTTCTTCATACCTGTCATAGAGAGCCATTGAGAATGGTGCATATTGTGCTTGTAAACAAGAGTGATTAACAAGGATAAATGTATCCTGAGGAAGGTGGAAACTGCATAATGTTGAACCCAACAACACGCTTGAACCTCAAATTTTCATCCAACAGATCATATCATTCCAAACCTACTAGGTCAAGTGAGACCCCAAAAGCTCTATCTATTTTCTAAAGGAGCACGACAGAATTAGCCTTCTCCTTAACAAAATTGATTCTAAAACGAAATACTATAGTTTTGCATCTTAAACTGCATGGCAAGAAGTCAAATTCGCCCTAAATATTGGATGATCAACATGTCTTTCAACCCACTCTTTTGTTATAGGTTCAGATTTTACTCTATATTGATGGTGTTTAATTCTTACACTTACCTACCTTCACTCTAAACTACAAAGGAACACATATAATCTTTCCCAAAATATCATTAAGTTTCTTTCATGTAGATTGACCATCAATTAGTCAACACGCACAACTAGCTAAAGCTGCAAATCAACGGCTGGAAATAAATAAAAAAACTTGATCTATAATATCAAATAAGCCCGTGTGTACACGCGCGCAAGTCAGGTGAAGGAAATGTTTAAATAGATAAACTAACACTATAAATAACAAATTACAGCTTCCAGTTGATCTGTTTACACAGAAATGGTAATTAACAGAAGTTAACAAAAACAAATCATTTGACCTTGAAAACAGAGACAAAATTTTTGCTTACATGGGTATGTGTTTCTCCTCAGCCAGAATTGCATTGTTTAACTTGATATCGTACCTGAAACCAAACCAAACCAAAGCCAAAACCCAACTTTAGATTCCACAGCAAAAGCCAATCCCAAGTCCCAACATTACAAAACATATCCCATAAAACAATAAAACCATCCAAAATTGTTCCAACCGTACTTTTTCAAGAAATCTTCGTCCACGACAGCTGAAATGTCAAGGAGAGGATTGCCCATCCCCAACAGAATTCTTTCGTAGGCCATTTTTTGGGTTGTCGGCGATCGTTTGGTGAGGGGAAATCAAACAAGAGGTTGGAGTGAGAGTAGGAGATTCGTAGATCTTGGTTGGGAAAAGGATCTGTGTTATTCAAAGTTTATAGGCCCATACTGAGACTGGCGTGTCCCCACCTCACCAACCCACTTGCCCAATT